CTAGGTTAAAGAACACATCCACCTCTGTGTTTTAAATATAATTATGCAAGTTACTGTGATCTAATTAAACAAGGTCTCTTAGGTAATGCTAATTAATTCCAAAATCAGTATTTTTGCACATAACCACATCACCTTACATCCAAATTATTTTTTAGTGATTTAGAAATTTTAACTAGGCCTTTGTTCATGGAAGTAGGAAAASGGAAAAACCTTTGACCTCTTGTGCATGAGCCAACTATTTAACAACTAAGAGTGCCCTTCCACCAAGAGAACTGGCTATGCTATAGCTTGTGCTTACCTATAGGGAGGGTCTTATAGGAACCTYCTTCAGTCAGCTGGAGCCCAGGGCTGCAGGATGACACCTTTTCTGTTATAGTAAGGTGAGAGCCTCTCATTTATATCACACTATGCTCAGACTTACTTCAGAAAAAGTCTATTGTCAGAAAAAAACTTTTGTTTCTYCCAGCTTGAGACCTCATGATATAGGAAAGTTTCTCCCAATAGTCCTGTTGAGGATGAATGCACTTGGCACTGTAAATATTTTTCTATGGAAATATTGTCGTAATATGAACATGATTCCCAGGTTAAATAACTTTAGGTCTGAGGAAACTCCTGAACCTCAGTATCTACTACAGGTACTTCTTGCCTTTTTGCAAGTAAGAAATTATAATTTGTCCAAAGTTGTTTAGGAGTGCAAGGAAAATCGCAAGAGACTAGTCTACAGTGGATTTATTCTTTGAGAACARCTGAAAATAGTTCTGTAGTACTGAAAATATACTATATTCTAGCACATTTTAGTTTATATGATATTTTCGGTTCACTATTCTGGTATATTTTAGTTCTATAAATTACTACAGAACTTCTGTATTACTGAATAGAAACAGAAAATTACAGAAATGGATTATTTGAGTGTTCTTGAAAATGCATTGTCATACAGCATACCAGGAAATTACCAGGATTTTTCATTTGGTTTGTGTGATATTTTACAAGCCTCTTTTGCCAGTTAAAAATAGTATTACCTCAATAACTTTGAGAATGTAGAAATCAGTTTATTGAAATGAGGCAGAACTCATTAAATTGGGGAAATGAGATTTATGGTGAGTTACTGAATTTTGCATTAACTATGAATTACAGAATTGTTCTTAAAAGGATCATCAGTCCTACTGCAAGGCTCCTCCAGAATTCGTGCTCCTTCCATCCCACCCTTTTTCTATATTCTCAATACTCTTGAATTTTGAATAGGCAGGAGTACCAACCACTACAAGTGTATATAAATATGTATATGCACACTTTTTCCATCGCTGTGCTAGGTGCTTTCTGCCATTCTTCCTGAGCTTCAGACTTTCAGTCCCAGGTTGATAAGGCAGAAGGGACACAGGTTGCCTTTACACTTGCAAGATGACATTTTGGGACACTGCTTCAGTCACAATCCTGAAATGGCCCCTTGCTGACAATATATATACCTCAGTAGGCCATGGGGAAAAGCATGCAGCTGTCGCCTCTCAAAAAATGCCATGGCCGAACCAAGGCACTCTTCTCATTTACAGGGCTGGACATGCTGTCAGCTCACTTACTGGAGACCTTCCAGGAGGAAGGACATGTTGCACAAGAACTCCACATGAAATTTTAGCTTTGAAAGAACTATGAGTGTACTCAGACATACCAGTTCATTATAGTATCCACCTCCACACTCATACATCTGCAAACACATACACAGACCTTTGACTTTCATAARCTATTCCTCTCAACTGCTGATTAACTCACACTTTAATGGTGCCATCCAACTACTGACATTGCAGTGTTTGTGTATGGATCCAGCTGTCCCATATATAGCTTTCAGTCAACAGGGGTAATTGTTTTGGGGTAATCAGTAGCTAGGCCAATGATTAACATAAAAGAACACACAAGTTTGTCTACAAAGAAAACTTATCTTTACTTGGTTGTAAAATATTTTTTGATCCTGCTTTCCAGACGAGGCTCTCCTTAGGCACTTTCAGAAATAACATGTATAGGAGTGTATCATCTGCTGATTTATTGGCCTAAGAGCTAGTGATCAGAGCTCCATATTTATTACTGAGATAATCTGACTCTACTTTCTTCCCGTCCTCAAACTCGTTTCCCTCATTAAGAAAGGAAGCTGGGCTATTTACTAGGATCAAATGTTAATGACTTCTTCTGAAGCTCTGCTTCTGCTGATGCTCTGCTTCCTTTAGCTTCATGTATTAGGGTACACTTACGCTGAAGAAAAAGAAAGTCTGTTGCCAAGTCTCCCTTGCTTAGACAATGCCTCTAATGAAAGGGGCGTGATAAATCCTGACAAGTATTCTTAGTCCTCAGAAAGGTGTGGGAACGGTGTTCTTTCTGCCTGGAATCAGTGATTCAGACAGGTGRATAAGCTGATTGTACTGAATACAGTGAACAGACATTAAAAAAGGCCTTGGACAGTCTCCAAAGCTAACTTCAGCACAGAGTCAAGAATTCAAGTGTTGGAAAGACCTGCCTGGCAAGATTGGAAGCAAKGGATATATATCTCTAGAAGGTGCATGTTGTGTATTTTTCTTTGTGGAGTTTCTGTGCTACATGAAGACAAACACTGGATGTCTGGGCAGATACTCTTAAGACTTGATTTGGAGGCAGATGGTTATGACCTTCCATGACAACTCAGTATCACTTAGGATTGATTATTGCCAAATAACCAGTACAATATGGCACTTCTAACCTGCTAACAATTAATTTCTAGGGAGAGCTACAGTTAAAGCTATGTTATTTTATATTATTTATTTTATTTTTGTTTCTTACTTTATCAGTCTCCTATGGAGATACTGGCAGCTGTAACTTGTCTCACTACATTTTTTTCAGAAATTGCAGAGGAGTTTGGAGATCTCAGAGGGAGGCAGAGTCCCCTCTGTCCCCTTTGGGAGGCTAGTAGATGATCAGAGGAAACCACAGAGAAAGCTGATATCTCCAAGGCCCAGGTGTATCCCTTAGCAGGGTGCTGTCACTCTGGCAGGGGCTCTCAGATATTAGTAAAAGTCAGGTCTTCACCTTTGTTGAGCAGTGGAGAGCTGTCACAGGATGTGACTTTTCTAGATAGTGCAGGAGCAGGACAAGTACAAAAAGAATGGAAGGAACACCTTGCTGTAGAGGGGCTGTGTAGTTTGAATGCCATTGGAACAGCCTAGGAACATTATAAGGCTGAAAAGGGGGAATACAACAATTCCACCCTGGAGGTATGGAGTACTCTGAAAGATGAATGTAGATGAGTCCATAATAAATAATTATTTCAATTTGAGAATTTCATAGCTTGGTCTTAAATGTTAGGTTGAGCTCTTTTGGCTATCTTTTTCTTCATTCTATGTGGAAAAAAAAAAAGAAAGAAAATAATAGAACCCAAAGATTCTGCACATTAAAAATATTTCAGCTTCTAAAAACACCTCAGGATTATCCTGTGCATGTAAAAGGAGAGGGAAGAAAATTTCCTACATAATGGAGATTTTTAAAAAATATTACTGTAACTTTATATGATGCAACTTCCAATTTGTGTTGTTTTGCTTCTTTCTTTTACTGGGGAGGTTTTAAAATACCGTGGGAACCAATACGGTAGTCCACTCCCTCTCTGCAGGCCTAGCTCCTCAAACATCACATGAGGAACAAATCCGGACTTGTCCGAAGTCCAGTCTTCTCTCTCAACAACTCCCTATTTCCATTCCTGGCTTTCAAAGATACCARAAACCTTATGATTTTCCTGCCCAGAGCAAATTTCATGCCAAGTAATTCTCATTCTCAGCAATACTCACTTATCGGATGACTCAATAGCTTCCAAAAACTTCATGCTGCTTCTTCTTCCTTCCTCTCATCTCAGCACTGTGTAGTGATGCATATATTTCTGAAATCTGTAAAAACACTGTATCTGCCTAACACAGCCAGAGACTTCTGAACTCAGAAGCAGAAAAAGGAGTGCAATCTTTCTTCTTTGGGCACAGAATTTCACCATGACATAAAACACAAATAAGCCTCAATTACAGAAGATGAAAAATCAAAGGAAAGTAACAGTATTACCAAAGTTAGACATGTAGAACTATTGTTGTGTATTTGGCAGAATCAAATGTTGAAAAAGAAATAAAGAAAGATTGCTGCATTTTTGTTGTTTACACCTTCTGACTTCTCACAGAAGCTCATCCTGGAATTTGGGATGTTGATTCTAGGAAGAAATGTAGAAAATGCTGCCCACAATACAGGCAGATTTACAGTAATTTTGTCCTTTCAATAGAGAGTTCTCTCACATCTTACCACTGAACTGTTAAATCAATCAAAAACATGGAGCAAAGTATCTCGGTCAGCTCGTCTCGCTGTGAATAGCAGCATTAAAAAACACTCTGGTACACAAGTCCTTGGTAGTCATAGGTGTCTAGCCAGGATTTGGAGAAAGATAGTCTTAATAGTTGCTCTCTAAGTATTTCCCTAGTGAGTATGAGACAATACRTCTGTCTTTCCAAATTCCAAGTAGGTTTGTTTTATAGATAAGAGTGGTTAATCTGGATCTTTGTATGCTAAATTGTTGAATTAGGAAGACAAAGTCCATTTATTATTTATCAGATATTATGGTCATGACAGTGGAAGTTTAAAAAAATTGCAGTAATTAAGCACAGCACACCTCTCAGAATAAAAAAAAAAGGCAGATACATAAGCTAAGTCAATCTTCTTCCTCCTAAATCATTTCCTCCTACTTCATTCAGAGACAATTTATATACTATGACCCTTTGCAAATCTGAGAAAGACAAAATGACTAATAACACTCCCATCAATTCAAAAAGTACAGCTACTTCAACTACTGAGTGAATTTGAATGAATTACAATAGAAATCAGTGGATTTTTATTACCCTCCCTCCATATTTAGCAGGGTGGTCCAGTCCGACATCCTAATGCAATAATTTTACTGTCAAATCTTACTTTTCTTATTTTTATTTTAATTATATTATTTTTATTACATTGTTTTTCAGGCCCTGATTATATCAAACAAAAATTTCAAGAGGGAGTGGAGATGAAAGAAAAATCTGAAGAAAAAGTTCAGGAAAAGCCACCTACCCCAAAAGAGTCACCTCACTTTTATCGAAAAGGTACTACACCCCCCCGGACCCCAGAAGCAAGCCCAAGGCATAGTCCTGTTTCTTCTGAGCCTTCTCCTTCCAAACAGCTGAAAAGGCAAAGCTCCACTTCTGGGACAAGACTCGGTCAAGAAAAAAAGCTTTTAGCCACTGAGAATATAACACCTACAGTTAACAAGTCTTTATATTCAAAAGCACCAGTGAAGGAGGAAATAGCTGTGAAACATCAGCCAAAGTTTTCAGCCCATCACAATCCCATCAGCACTGAGAATGGGGAGCTGCATGATCACTACCATGGTTATTACGTAAAAGTGAATCCACCAGTGCTTCCACAGGAGCTCAGGGAAGAAGACGAGTATGACAATCCATCACCGCCAGCACTCGCACAGTTACCACCCGCACAGAAGCCAAGTCCTGCCAGGTCTGGGGGTAAGCCAGATGCCAAAGAAAACAAACCTGACACAAAAATTAAGAAACCAGAATATACTGCACCAAAGAATCCAGCTAAAAATGAGTCTCATTCACCAGTGGAAAACAAAGTGGAAAACAGCTCGGTAAGTACTACAAGAAAGCCTGTCGCTTTTCACTGCCTTTTTCCATCCTGTTGTCAAGCCTCAAAACCCCTAGACAAGGAAAGCTCAGACATAGTTCAAAATTTCTTACTAGATAGGAATGTGAGATAGAACCCTTTGCACTGGAATGGAGTGAGGAACAAACATTCTGGTATTATCTTTTTCTTGAAATGGGAAAGGGCCAGTGCRTGGCCAGATATTCTCAGACTTAATGAAATCGTTAATATATCCATGAGCACAAGAATATTATATACACATACCTTAAGTGTATCAGTGTGTGTGTATATATACATTTTTTTTTCTTTCTAAATGATATTTATTGTATTTTATTGGGTAAGTCTGCAGTACTAGCAGTTTTACAGTTAGACTTCTGTAATGATACAGAAATGTTGTAATGATATAGAAATAACTACTTTTTTGGAGCTTCTTCCAAAAATCCAGTTAAAGATAAAAGTTTTAAAATTCCCCATTACTGTTTCAAGAGCCAAGGGGATTCACTGTTAGCTGCCATGAGGAGCTTTGTAACTTGCATATTACTTATGCAGTGCAACTTAAATGTATGTAGCATCAACACAGGGGCTATTATTCATGTACCTAATGAAGGATAATTTTGAAAAGCATGAAAACTGCTTGTAACAGTGAATTATTCATCATTCAGTTAAAGTGATACAGTATGATCTAGTCCAGTCAGCATGTGTGGCATTTTTACAACTTCAGACCAGTGAACATTGCAGGCCAAACACCCTGTCTTGACGTATGAATTACATAGTAGATATGCCCTGGGGGAAGAGTTGTGAGACAACATCAGTACAGACCTTCTACAAGTTTTTACTAAAGATCAGACTTAAATAGAATGTGTTATTCTCTAATTATCTTCTGATTTACCAAGTAAAAACCATTCATATTTCTGTTTGTTTAAATGTACATTAAAATTAATAAAAAGCCTTTTCCAAGGTCAGTAGAAGGTGAAGCCAAATTAAGGAAAAGGAATGATTAAGTTTGTAAAGAGCCTTTTGTCTGTGACAGGAGCAACTGCATGAGCATGTTGTAGAATTCTGTAAAACTGAACAGTTCAGAGAGCATGACCAGGGCATGAATATTCTCTCTTTCTCCCGACACTAGGAGAACATGAAATTCTAGGGAGTAAATCCAAGAACTAGGGAACATCAAATGAAGCATCAGTCTCAAACAAACAAACAAAAAAGCCAAAACACTGTGGAGATCCTATCCACAAATGTTGTCAAAGCTAGAAGTGTGTATGGGCTCTATAGGTAAAAAGATGTATTTAAAGAAAAAAAGTCCTTTGAGAACTATGAATACAAAGGTACCACCACCTCTACCACTCAAGACATTCTTGAGAAATAATTTTTGGAGGCTGGAGAGTATTCAGGAAGGAGTGTCACTATATACACCTGCCCTGATCTCATTCTGTTCCATGAATGTCTACATGTGACATCTTTTGAAGGCAGGATTTTCACCTTTGATGTGACCCTGTCCAAAAATTCTACTGTTTTCATTTTCTTATTTCTTTGTGTTAATCATAGGCTTTGAAATCAAAATACATACTGCTTAAAAATACTTGCTTCTAAAAGGCTTAGGTCGCTAAAATAACAGGGAAAAAAAATGATTTCCTTTTCCTAACAGGAAATGGAGAAGGAAATTTAAAACTATTCATCCAGATCACTGTGAATCTGATTCTTACTATTACTTAGAAATACCAAAATTATCAGAATTGACAATCATCAATTGTGTGATGTCAAAATTACTTCCAAGCCAAGAGAAACTCAGCAAAATGCTAGCTGTAGATCCTAGAGATAACCTCTAGGTCCAGATAATTTGATGGTGGTTTTTTGTTGTTGTTTTTTAACAATTTTTTGGTATTCCAGTAGAAAAATAATAATGTGTTATTATTTAAATGGAATAGAAACTTAATCCTATTAGTAAGATCCAACTAGTACTGATCAGCTAGCACTGACCTCAGGTAAAACAGCTAAAAAAATGATGTCAGAATTCATTCATAAAGAATTTAAAAATAAAGAGTATAAAAGTTCCATTAAGAAATCTTAAAAGTGTTACCCAGGAATTTTGCAGAAGAGACCCGGGTATGGATTAATAATGAAGGCAACAGATCACCAATCACAGACTGATCCAAGTTACCTGTTAAGAAGAATGGAAGTATAATTGACTGTGCGTGTTTCAGTACAGTTAAATAAATGTAGGGTCATATACTGAAACACAGTTAGTGGGGAAACTGGAAAAGGGTGCTGGATTAAGAGACAAGAGAGGCAACTGAATGTGAGCCCACAATCTGCTGATGCTACCAGAAGAGTTAGTACAGTCCTTAGATTTACCAAGAGGAGAGATTAAGCAAGTGTAGATTGTATTTTATCTGTTTTTGGCACCAGTGCTACTACTTCTGGAATAAAAAAATAACGTTGATAAATCAAATAGGAGATTTAAAGGGACAAAAAGCTTGAGAGAAAGTCCCACAATCTCAGGAAGGATTAGAGCATATCTTCAGATTCAGCAGTGGTTCAGTGCACAAAATGTGCTTGACACTTTAAATCACATACTTTAAGAGCACTTGGCAAGTTTCCCAAGCTACTATATAAGAGGAACTAGCAACAGAAAGTTAAAGCTGGACAATTTTAGATTGTAAGTCTTGTCTGAGGCTGTTATAATGAAATCAATTAATGTAACATCTATTCTTTTTATGGGAGCTGTCCCTGAGTAGTTTGATAATGAACGTTTTCCAAAATGGTAGCCTGTATTTCAGCAGCAATATCCTCAGAGAAGTTCTGTGTGCAGATCAAACTAACTGTTGACAGCAGCTTTCTAATCTGAAAATCTGTATTACAGCTGATATCAACCCTTTAAGCTTTCAGTCCTCACAGATAAAAATTAATTCTACACTGAGTTCAACACAAAGCTGCAAGGCTTATAAATGCCAAGTGAGCATGCCTAGAATTTTAGTTTGAACTAGATTTTTTTTTTGTTCAACTCTGGTAGAAATAAATGATGATAAAATTTCCTTATTTTTCTTCTCTATTATTCAAAGCAAATAGTGGTTGGGAGTGGGGGAACCTTTATCATAACATACCAGGTGGGGCATCTACACAGCAGAAAATTGGGCTTCCAGAACAATCAGGATAAGAACTGTGAGCTTGTAGCCTGCTATTAGGAAAGGTGGAAGGTAATAAGGGACTGTACATCAGCTATGGCTTTTTTATTGATATTACAGGTCACCTGTAAACTGTCCCTCTGCTTCCTTAGGAGTACACTAATTGCATTCTCTTTTTATCAGCCTGTCACAAAGGAAGGAATTAGAGCTTAGAAAGTTATTCTTACCATGAAAGCATTTAAGAGATATATAGATGTATGTACTTTTTTTCATATATATTTTCCCTAGATGTCTGTACATTTGTCTAATACAATGCATTTCCTACATGTTTTCGTATTTAAAATCCTAGAATAATGAAGGCACTCCTGGCCTAGTGCACAGAGGGGAAGACTTGGTACAGAATGTCTGTCAATGCTGCCTGGAGTGTTATTCTTTTTGATTTTCAGTATCACCTCCCAAATTCAGAAAAACGGGGTCATGTTCCTGGACTGAGGTCAGTAGTAAGCCGCAGTTACCCAGTGACTGACTGCACAATTATTGAAGAGAAATCCGTTTCGTCTATTTTTCTGTATCCCAAACAGTACTGAGTGTTATGAGACCTCAGAATTCTAGGGCTATATTAGGGAGCTATATTGTGTTAGTCACTAATATTATTGTTTTATATTCATTCGGAGAAATAATTTTGCCATAGTTCTGAAAACAAATCTGTCTGATGTGTCATAGAGATTTAAAAATATATTTGTTAGGAAGAAGCATGAAAAGAGAGAGGACATGTTTTTGGAATGCAAAAAAAAAAAGAGATGTATGACATTTATTGAAGATTTCATTAGATTATCTGAAAGTGCTATATAAAATTGTGCTGTGCTTTCTTCTGCTTTCCAATGAGAATACATGAGGAAAACAAATACAGTACATATTAACTTTTTTTTTCTTCCATCTATCTAAATAAAACCTGTCTCTCATATCTGGATGAAATATACCCATTTGATTCAATTTGGAAGGGAACTTTGCACAACTTAAAACTCTGGAGAAGTGTTCAATAGCTATTATAGTAATAAAATGGAGGTTCCATATTTTCTGTAAATATTACACAACCATAAGAATGTAATTGAAAAATACCCACACAATAAATTAGTAATAAGTATTCATTAAGTATCTCTATTTCWGTCATTATAACTGAAAAGCAAGTACTTAAGCCTACACTGCACATAAAATATAAAAATGTATTTCTGTATGTGCTTATTTGCACATACATAGATAACTGTTCAAAAATCAAAAGTCTGGAATCATTTCAGGGTTCATAAGAAAGACCCTAGAGCCCTATCATTGTTTCATGAAGGTGAAAACACACATAAAGGCAATATGACAAAATCAGTGTTTSTCAGCTGCTTCTAAATAGGTGTTTGCATGTAGGCAGCTACCCTTGTAAAATGTGAGATAAATCATCCTTTTTTTCACTCAGCATTAGACAGCTTCAAATTATCCTATATTTACTGCAGTAGAAGGAATGCAGAGAGACACTCTAGCACAAACCAGTATGAACTGTTTCTGTTTGCTAGTTAGCAGCCTCTAGCCCTACTATCAATTTGCACGTTCCTAGCCCCCTGTGAATGGGAGGTAATTTGAGATTATCTTGGATTAGAGCACAAAGCAGGATTGAATCACAGCTGAAAAAATAGTATTGTAGTGTCTGGTCATGAATACACATTTCAATTGACCTATACATGGCTTGCCCTAGGTCAGGTACCGCACAGGCACTGGTGTTACATTATATGGTCAGGGTGTTTTGGCAGGTCAAGCAGTAAGTCACATGGGCTGCTTTAGCCTGTGTTCTGCCTGTTTCTGAAATCACTGCATTGCACTGAATACTATTTAGTGTGATTTTACTGTCATCTCTCTGTTACCTAAAATGCAGTTAGTATAGGATGTAGTTGCCATGATGTTAGGAAAAACAGATCAGTATTAGCCTGGTCCTGCAAAATCTCTGAACAGTAACTTTATGCTAAAGTTAATAAACATTCCTAATGCAAGAGGATTATAAAACTAGTCATCGTATTTCCTGGCACTACATTCTAGGAAATAACTTTATTCCCTTTCCTGAATTAAAACCTAATCATATATATTTTAGCTACAGAAGTGAGTGGCTTACTGGAAGTTAGAAGGGCAGTTTTTAAGGCTGAAGTTTTTCTGCTACAGCTTTTTACTGCACCTGTTCTAGTCACTCTTGGAGTGTTTGGACTAAATTTGTCTTTTGCTATTTTAAGCCCATGCAGGACACTAAAGTTTTATTTATGGTGGTTTGTCTTAAAGTGCTAAATATTTGTTTCATAAATGTCTACAAAATAAGTAATGGATCATAGCAGAACAACCATGTGCTCTACAAATATCTCTTAATCATTTTTTAGTGTACGGGAAAATTCTATTCTGGGCTCTTTGAGCTGTAGTCCTAGTTTGCCATGCAGCCAAAAGCTATGTGGCAGCTATTAGGGTGCTGTTTAGGATGAATTTCAGATAATTAGTAAGTTCCTGGCTCCACTGACCTCTGGAGTAACTCCCATTAGGTCCAAAGTTCCATTCGGTAGGAGTAAATCAAATGGATTTCTGTCGATGTTATTTTCAAATACACAAGGCATTGGACACACAAATCCAGCTGAGTTCAGGTGAATTTACTGGTATTAACAACTGATCTCCTTTACAATTCCTTGCAAATCCTGGCTCAATATAATTGTAAAATCTATAAGTGAGCGTACTAAACCATGAAGGGTCTATTGACCTGATTATCATCATACAGAGATCAGCGATAGTTGCTGGATCCAGAACTCCCGAGTGCAAATTAATGCTTTAATCCCAGTGCTGTCCTCCCTGTTAAAAGATAGATAGCATTAATTTTATGTGCTATTGATATTTATCATGAGAGTTTTGGGCAGAGGGGTTGCAAACCTTCTTAGATAGAAGGACATTAACACAGACATTCCCAGACTGAAAAACTTAAAGAGATTTCCTGTTGTTTCAAGTAAAACATGTTTGTTGCTCAGTTTTCCAGTACGATTTTCATGCATAGATCTCACAGTTTTCAGATACGTTTGATGGGAATCATCAGTTCTGGATTTTTGGTGACTATTTAGTTTTCCTTCACAATAGAAAAGCATAGAAGTATTAAAGATAGCAAAATGCTGTCTGTAACACATAGAACAAATTAACCTAGAGTTACACACTGCTACAACTAGACTGCTTTCCCTTCTTGGTTCAAAATGTAACCATACCAGAGCTCTTTTATATGTCTTTCCCCAAGTGCTTCATTTACTTTAGTCTAGAGAGTGTTTCCTTAGTGTAGTAGATCACATTCAGTAGGAAGGAAGAAACATGGTTTCACCTTGTTTCTGTGGTCTAATGATTAAAACATAGCACTGGTAAATGAGAACTAGTGTTCACAGCCTTCCGASTAAGGTGGCACGAAGCCCTATCCTCAGTTGCCCGGAGAGTGTTTTAGATATGCTGCCACTAAGCAAATGTTGCTGCTGGTACCATGATCACTATGTCGGGGTTTGAGTAGCGTCTGATAATCTCATTATTTGAACTTCAGCATGTTTATACTGATCCTCAGCATATTTACAGATGACTCTGAAGACTGTCAGATCAACTCAGTGACCTAAAATTGAGGCACCTGTTGCACTTAGACTTCACCAAGCTTTAAACAGCTCCTGAGGTGTATTTTGTGACTTGTTCTCAAACAGAGCATATTTTGAGACTTAGGAACGTAGTGATAGTCTCCATCTAGCCCACTGTCTTAGCTGTGTGTTCTGGAAGGAAAAGTTTAATGAGACTCTTTCTGGTTTAGACCATGTAATATAGAAATAATACAAATACTGTTCAGTATCTTTGCTCTTCAACTCCTGTTAAAAATTCATAATGGTAAGTTCTTGTACTTTATCATTCCAGTAATTATATGGCTAATATTACGAATCCTATTAAGCATAATGAATTTTTACAAGGTATGCTTCTTGCAGAAAGTGAAAAAAATTTGTATAATAATTTCTGATAAAATACATTCCTTTTCACAGAAACCAGTCATCTCTAGCTAGCTCAGAGTATAGTTGTCTGCATAGATTTTTGGTGGATTTTTTTGTGATTTAGGGAAGTATTGCCAAAGTATGAAGTTTTTCTTTTCAGTGTACAATAAGTGGGTACTTCAAAATATAACCATATACAAATCTTTGGAAATTTTTCATAATAAATTAGAGATGTTAAAAGAAGAAWGAAGAGAATTTCCGTCAGTTCTGTTCATTATTTCAAGTCATTCGTGAGGAAGCATCCATGTTAAAAACATTTCCAAAAGAAGCTAAAAATATAAAATCTTTGTTCTATGGCTTCACAGAAAGAATAAAAAATACATAGTGATTAAGAGCTATATTTCTAGCTAAGCTTAGCTCAGCTAGGAAGGGAAGGAACACTTTCACTGCTCTCACTGCTCTTTCTCACCAAATAGTTCTGTAAGATAAGGATTCATCACCACCAMGTTCCAAGTTTCAAAGTAAATCAAAACAAGTTTTTAATCCTTAATGGAAACTTTTCTGGGGAAACTAGTATAGAGGTAAATATCAAATATATTAGTTACGTTTGGTTATCAAAAGAGGGTTTTCTAGTGGAAACACTGAAAATTACGTATTCAGTTTTCAATATGGTTGCATATAAGATGCAGTCCAACAAAGTCCTTACTCTATTTTGAAAGATGGTAGCAGTAGAGAAGGAACCTATACAAGAAAGAAAAGCATTTCTGAAAGTAGCTTTTTTTTTTTTTTTTTTTTTTTTTTTTTTTTGTTGTTTGTTTTAATCTTATATTGAATTAGTAAATGAAGAATTTATATCTTAATAGTTTATTTTCTTTTTTTTGTATATCAGTTTATCTCAGTGGGCTTAAGAACAGTTTAAGAACATGCTCGCACCTGTATTTATCCAGTTCATTTTTTGCACAGATGATATTTAGCACACTGCCACCTGAAGAGCAGTGGCTGTGTTCCTTGTTTATCAGGAGCAGAATTTGTAGCATCAATATTTATGTAATCATTCAGATCAAGATCAAAAACTAGTAACAAGGGTACGCTCAGATCCTATTCATTGTGGTGCACTGTGTGGAGAATTGCATTAATTTAATATCTTTGTTTTATTTCATTTTCAGGGCTCTAACTCAGTCATGATTGCCCTGGTAATGCTGTTGAATATTGGTCTAGCCATTCTTTTTGTCCATTTTCTAACTTGATTGGAATTAGGAAAGGTAAGAAAGGTCTCATTTTCCTATAAAATCACTATCTCACCTCAGTTTAAGACTCCTCTCCTCAAATTATAAAGATTTATTTGCATACTTTTAATGTTTCCTACTTTAATTTTAGCTATGCCTGAATGTGATTCAACATAGTTATTTAATTATGTAACTGTTTTGACCCTTCAGTGAAGTCATGACAACTAGTGGTGTTAGCCCACAGTTCTCTGCAGTTGTGTCATCCGCCTTTTAAAATGGCGCCAGTCATACTCAGACACAGGGAAGGAGGCTTGCGATTAGGATGGGACGCGAGAGAGATGAAACTTGGAGAATTCAGCCAGGGGCTGCTCTGCTGCTGGCTCGTGGCCGTGGGGCGCTCTGAGAGCTGAAGCGAGCAGCCCCAGCGGGAAGCGCGCAGAGCGACCTGCTGAAGCAGCCCCGCCGCTCGAGCGCGTTGGCTTCTGCGTCTCTTCCAGCAGAGTGTGACTAAACTGGAAATGTTCGGAGCTGCACTTTTTGTTGATGGAAGCTAACAGCTGCCTTACTATTTTGCCGTCTGATGTTTTTAGTGGGGAGATGGGCAAGCGACTGCCAGAGGAATGTGGTCAGAGGATTCTGTTGCTGTGGAAGTGATTCCAGCGTTCACTCCTCTCTCATTAGAAGAAATAGTTAGCAGCATCAGTCACCAGTCTTATTCCATTACCTGCTGCTTTTAACATCTCCTGCCGTGCTCAGGGAGATTGAATTTCATTTGCCTGTGCATGATTCTGTTCATTCGCTGTTTATGAAAGTTGATGTATAGCCATAACGTAGTATGTAGGCCAACCTGGAGAAAGTCACTGTTCTGCCTCGCAGCAGGAGCAGAAAATGAAAGCATTGCTTTGTATTTTCCATCTGAAGATGCAATTCTGAGATTTGTTTTCCTAAATGGCAAGAGTCTTTTTAATTTAAGGTTTAGTAATATACCATAACTGCAAATTGTAAAGCTGTTGATATCTTCCCGAGAACCTTCTAATGCTTGTACTGTTAACAAGCAATTATTTTCATAATCAAAACACAAAATGCTTAAGGCAGTATCAGCACATTAGAAAGAGGAAGTGGAATGTCAGCGTAATCTGAGAAAGACAAGATATAGGGTTTGCATGTTGAGTTTGGTTGCTTTTTTGGTTTTTTTTTTGTTGTTGTTGTTTTTTTTTTTTGGTTGTTTTGTTTTTTTGTTTTCCAAAATTCTGGTGCTGTGATAATTGGTGATTTGAATTATTATGTTTCAGCACTGAGATTTTGCCAGTCATTAAAATGAAGTCTTTTCTGAGTGCAAATCAGTGCCAATGACAGCTAAGACTAGCAAATGCTGATAATAAATCGTCATAACTTCAAAATACTGGCTTTGTGTTGAATACATTCAGGTAGAGCATTTAGAACTGTTAAGTGATTGTTTATCAATTGGATGCCTTCATTGTCTTTAATGTCCACTTATAATTTTACCTCAGCATTTAAAGGAAAAGCCTCAATTGTTTTCATTTGGAAAGTTTGTCTTAAGTAGTTTCACAGCCCTTTGTTAAGATGATGTGATCATGTTTCTTTTAATTGTCATTATACTGTAATTATTGTACCCTATATTAATCAAAAGCATGCTTATTTACTTAAAATATATGTGGTGTGGTCATTTGGAAAGTAAATATTTTAATTTAAAGCTATGAAAAGCAAAGGGCTTGTATTATGGTTTATTTTTTTCTCTATTAGAAAATATTTCATACAGTATAGTTTTTGAACCTGTTTGTAAACTTTGTAAGTGTTTGCATGGTTTAATGGGCAACACTCTTAATAAGTACACTAGCTATCTCTTGATGCAGCCTAGTAAAGTATTATAGGTGTGGAATGAATATTGTGTAGCCAAACAGATCCAAGCAGGGCAGTAACACCATGGTGTTTTTTACAGAAGTATGTTGAGAATCCTGTGTTTTGACCAGTGTGGATAAAGAAGAAAGCAGAAAGAGAGCAAATGAAAATAAAACCTGTATATTTATTTTTTAAAAAAATTAACGTTGTGTTTCAAATTTAGGAAAGTGATTTTTAAATAAGAAAAAAAAATTAAAAGTTACTGTCTAAGCGTTGACTTAATGGACAAAATGTTCCATCCAACACTGAAATCATCCCCTGTCTCCCTACGTGGAGAGATAATTTTGTAACTAACTGACATATTTAATTCCTATTAAATGTTTATTTAAAATACTTTATGCTCTGGAAATAATGGGTAACAAAGCTTATGAAAATGTTTATAAATTTAAGTAAGCATGTTAGTACCATTTATAAATATGTATGATTTATAAGCTTTTTTAAAACAAAGCTCAAACAAATTGTTGGTATTTTTCTAAAATGTGCACAGCTGTATTTTACATGAAAGGCTATTTATAATTGGTTGTTATACTGTACACTACATTTTGGACAGCACAATGAAGCCTGCCAATGTACTTAATTTTAATGTCATTTTATCTATTTAAAGTTTCTTGCTGTCAAAGAATGAACTCTTTATCTATAAGTTTATTTATAATTCTCAAACCCAAAATGTATAATGTACAGTTTTCACAACTGTATTTGCTCTAATAAAATCAAGTTGGTTATTAATAGAGTTTCAGACTAGTTTTTTTCCAGTTTATCTTCCCTCTATTGGAAAAAAAAATGCTACCAAGTTCAACAAGTGAGAAATGAAACCAAGAGAATTAGTGAAGTGCTCTCCCCTCTTGCTCATGAGTTMATAATCATGAGTTATTGTATTCAACAGAAGTATGAAAAATAAAATATGTAAAGTTTTCTTATGTGTCTTCTTTTCTGACATACAGCTCTTGTGTCTTTAAAAATAATATTGTCTTAAATTATATTTCCAAGTAATGGCGGTTTAATCAATCTCCATATAATCAGTCAGTACATGTCTTGTCCATGAACAGCTGCTTTTGTATGTGCATCAACAGCTTTTATAGACCTTCCTCCTTGTCAAGTCTTTATGGGTTCAAAATTAACATGAAGATTTCAAGCCAGTGTTCTGCACTGAGAAAATTCACCACTACTGCTGTGGTAAAGCCACATTTGCTAAAGCTGGACAGGATTTTGTTTTCTGAGAGATTACCAGCCAACTGTACTAAATTCCCAGTGGCGATGTTGGACATGTTTCTAGTACTATCCGATGTTTAAGTAGTGTTAATATTTTTAAGAGGAGGGTTTTTTTTAATAATTCTACCAGCATGAAGCTTAACTAAGAATTTTCTTTTCTGCATAATAACCCATTCCTTGCATTCCCTTAAGACTTTTTTTTGGTCGTTCAAGTACAGAAAAATAAATTTTCAGGAACAATAAGTGGAGATAGCTGTAATGTCAAAACATTTAAAATAGAGATCACTGAGACATCTTTTTCTCTGACATTTTTGCATCCACATGGATTTCGTATTCAAAGATATAGGAATATAAAATTAACATGAAATATTTCTTCAGTTCTATGAATGTGATAATGTATTCAGGCATATATAAATCTTAAAAGSAACAAGCAAGGGTTTACCTAGAAATAGAAAAAAAAAAGTTTTCATAGTCATTTAAGTATGACATTTTTCCCTGCCCACTAGTGTTCATAATCCTCAAAAGATTTACATAGAAAAACAAGATTTTCTTTCTGTGTTTTCTGAAAGCAGATAGACACTATTCCTCTAGAAAAAAATTTTACCAGTGACTTAGGTTACCTTTAGTTGGAAGCATACAAATGGGTTAACCTGGGAAAGCACCTACTATGCCTAAGAAAATTAAAAGCACAGTCACACAGAGTCACTCCTTGCACTAGCATGGAAAATTTTACCCCCCTTCAGTATGAGGAAAATGTATTCCAGCCATGGTAGATTCTCCAGAGGCAGTTTTTGCTTGCCCATGGATATGATTAGGCAATGATTTCCCATCTTTTAATTTGAGATTTGCTTTTTTTGGGGCAATTCCATTTATCTGATTAAATAGTATATATATATATATAGTGTACACAGCAAATGAATGATGATGAGGTGCCAAAGTCTGGAAAAAGACGACTGCCATCATGAGTTTTTAGCATATATAGTCTTTTACTTTACTTTCACAACAAATAGAAAAGTAAGAAATGAAAAGCAGGTGGATTTTGATGAATTTGGTTCCAAAACAAGAAGCCAAAGGAAGATTCATTTTGAAAGTAGGGATTCAGTAATGTATTATTGCAATTTACCTTTCAGATATAGAAGCATATTTTTTAAAATTATTGTTACAGTTAGGTGCTGACTTTGAAAGGACTAATTGTTTCTTTATAAGTGTTTGACTACAAGACTTGAAATACTTCTTTATTCAAGTTTTTATTGCATGTAGCATCTGCATTAAAAGCTCTAATAAGCATAGTTGTAAAATACGTTAAATGTCTCTGACAGACAACCTGAATGTGACATTAAAAGCCTGCAGAAAGTCACTGCTGTCACTGGAGCATGACAAGTGCATACTGAAGTACAGTAACGTTCTTGACTATTTCCCATTAATAGAATATGATTATGGATGATATCTTAATGCTTTTAATTGTAGCTCATCTGGACTAGCTAGTCAGCACAGACAGTTCTACATGCTGTTAGAATATAATTCTGGAATTATAAGAAGAATAAGAAAATAATGTAAGAATATAACTCAGAATAAGAATTATTCAATAAATTATAATTCAGTAAACAGAATATAACTGTAAGAATTTAATTCAGTAAACAGAAAGCAAGGGAAGGGAAAAGAAGGCAAATTAAGGAAGCTTTTAAAATCTATTTCCTCATTATCTTGTTTAATATTCAAAGAAGCAGAGAAAAAAAGAAATTATATTAATTCTTGGCTGCCAACATGTTGTAACTGAGCCATCTGCAGTATCCCTCTCAACTAGTTGCAGAATCTATAAAAAACTGAAAGACATTTTTACTCTTCATGTGTTCATGTATAGCAAAATAAAGGAGGTAAATATGATTTGCATAAATCACATTTTTAGGGAAAATTTTCCAAAATATTGGTGTTATTTAGATGGGGAGGTAAAAGTAAAACCTTGTATCTATCTAAATAGCATATGTTGTGGAAATCACCGTAACAGCTGAACAAACCCTCTTCCTAATAAAATCAAAAATGAAAAAAAAGAAGCCTGTCACAGAATTTKTTGGGTTTGAGGTGGAGCTTGTGGAGAGCGAAGGGAGAGGGAAGGGAGCTGAAGGGACTGGGTGGATGTTTTTATTCCAGTTATTTACACTTGATTGTTTGAGTTGATGTATTTCACAATAACTTGAGACTGGTCATCTCAGAGATTTAAGGTAATGCCATTTCTCCAAGAAGAAGGTTTTGATTTTTTTCCATAGTGTTGTGAAAGAAYAGGATTAGCCTAATCACCCATGAGATGGTTCTGGTTGCCTATTTTCTGTGCTTTGGCTACCTTCCTTTTTTAATTTTATCTCTCAGCACCCTCTCACCCCAAGAAATTCAGCTCAGTCCGCTTTTGAGTATGCATACTTGCCCCCACACTTATGCCAGCTGCTCACGTTTTTTCCCTTTTGAAGCACATTTTAATGGATTTAACCTCATATGGCTATGATAGTATTTTTCCATTGCAGTTCTAACGCTGTAATATGTGTCATGTCACAATTTTCAGATAGTCTACTTCTCAGCACACTATTACTGCTGTTTTGTGCAACTGTGTTCTAATTTCCCGTTAGAGAAAGAAAATGGCTGAGACCTCTGTGCCCTGAGATTTCTAACGTCATTGGTAGTAATGAACATCATAACGTTGCCATCTTTGAGGAAAAAATCTGAAATTATCTAGGTTATGAACTTCACTACAAATGTCTAAACTTGTGAAAAAGACTACAAATAGAGCTGAAGCTAATTCTCAGCATAGAAGAATGAGGAGTCCCTTTGATAGGCTTGATTTGATGTGACTGTGTTGTGATTATTGAAACATTT